CAGATTTAATGCAATTCCGATTAAAATTCCAATGATATTCTGTAGAAATAGAAAGGGCAATGGTGAAATTCATTTGGGAAAATAAGAGGCCTATAGTAGCCAAAGCAATCCTTACTGAGAAAAGTGAAGCAGGAAGCATAACAATACCAAATCTTAGACAACAGAGCTGTAGGAGAATGAGGTATACTACCCATTTACAATAGCCTCAAAAAAAAAAATACTTGGGAATCAACTTAACAAAAGAGATGAAAGATCAATGTAATGAAAATTACAGAACCCTAAAGAAAGAAGTAAAAGAAGACCTTAGAAGATGGAAAGATCTACCTTGCTCTTGGATAGGCAGAATTAATATTATCAAAATGGCCATATTTCCAAAAGCATTATACAGATTTAATGCAATTCCAATCAAAATCCCAATGGCATTCCTCATAGAAATAGAAAAGGCAATTATGAAATTCATTTGGAAAAATAAGAGACCCAGAATAGCTAAAGCAATCCTTAGCAGGAAGACTGAAGCAGGTGGCATCACTATACCTGAACTTAAACTACACTACAGAGCAATAGTAACGAAAACAGCATGGTATTGGCACCAAAACAAACTGGTAAACCAATGGTACAGAATAGAGGACACAGTGACTAACCCACAAAATTACAATTATCTTATATTAGACAAAGGTGCCAAAAAGGTGCCTCTTTAACAAATGGTGCTAGGAAAATAGGAAATCCATATGCAACAAATGAAATTAAACCCATATTTCTCACCATCCACAAAACTTAACTCAAAATGGATCAAGTACTTAGGAATAAAACCAGAAGCCCTGTGTCTGTTCTTATAAATCCCTGTTCTTATAAAAGAAATAGTAGGCCCTAATCTTCATCATGTGGGATTAGGCCCCATCGTCCTTAATAAGACTCCTGTGGAGTAAGAATTAAAATCAATGAATGGGATGGACTCAAACTAAAAAGTTTCTTCTCATCAAAAGAAATAATCTGTGAGGTGAATAGAGAGCCTACATCTTGGGAGCAAAGCTTTTCCTCTCATACATCATAGCACTAATCTCTAGGGTCTATTGAAGGGGAAAAAAAAGACCCAATTATATACTGTTAGCAAGAGACTCATCTCATAGGCAAAGATACACACAAGCTGAAAGAAAAAGGATAAAAAAAAAATCCAGGGCTGGGGCTGTAGCTCAGTGTTAGAGCGCTTGCCGTGCACGCATGAAGCACTGGGTTCGATCCTGAGCACCACATAAAAAAAAATTAAAAACAAATAAAAATAAAGTTATTAAAAAATCAAGAATCAAAAAAAAGCAGGAATACCTATTCTCATATCTAACAAAGCAGCTTTCAAGCAAACATTAGTCAAAACATACAAAAAAAACTCACTATATATTGGTAAAGGGAACAATCCAAGATATAATGATTGTGAATATTTATGCCCCAAATTCATTGCACCTAATTACATTAAGAAAAAAAATAACTCTGGACATTAAATCCCAAATGTACCCTAATACAATAATATACAATTTCAATATACCCCTTTCACCAACAGACATGTAATCCAAACACAAAATTGTTAAAGATATTTCCAGCCTAACTAATACTAAAAATCAAATGGATGAAACAGAAATCTTCAGAACATTTCACCCAAAATCAGCTAATTTCATTTTCTCAGCAGTTCATGGATTTTTTTCCAAAATGGACCATGTTCTAAGCCACAATGTAACTCTTTTCTTTAATATTTATTTTTTTAGTTATAGGTGGTAGACACAATATCTTTATTTCATTTTTATGTGATGCTGAGGATTGAATCCAATGCCTCATGCATGCTAGGCGAGCACTCTATCACTGAGTCACAAGCTCAGCCCTACACAATGTAAGTCTTAACAAATACAAAACAAAGAGAGAAAATCCCATGCATCCTATCAGATCAAAAATGGAATAAAACTAGAAATAACATCAAGAAAAATTATAGAAACCATATAAACACATGGAGATTGAACACTACTCTTTTAAATGAATAATGGATTTAAGATGAAATGAGAGAAGAAACTATATGAAATTCTTAGAAACAAATGAGAGTAGAAATACAACATATCAATATGTCTGGGACAGTATGAAGGCAGTTCTAAGAGGAAATTTTATAGCGTTTCCTACATAATTAAAAGATCCCAAATAAATAATCTAATGCTACACTTCAAGGCCTTAAAAAGGTATAGTATATGAATGTTAAAATAAGTAGAACAGAAATAATTAAGATCAAAACTAAAAATGCGGGCTGGGGATGTGGCTCAAGCGGTAGCGTGCTCGCCTGGCATGCGTGCAGCCCGGGTTCAATCCTCAGCACCACATGCCAACAAAGATGTTGTATCTGCCAAGAACTGAAAAATAAATATTGAAAAAAAATTCTCTCTCTCTCTCTCTCTCTCTCTCTCTCTCTCTCTCTCTCTCTCTCCTCTCTCACTCTCTCTTTAAAAAAAAAAAGCTAAAAATGTAATTTTCTTTGAGTTAACTGATAACTTCAGAGACATTTTCTAAATATACAAAATGTAGAGGACTGTTAAGCAACAGAATTTGTGTCTAAAGCAATAACGTACTAAAATCTTTATCTAGTAATCAGAGAACAAGTTTTAGCTACACAGTATTACCTAATAGAAAGAAGAACTGTATGGTCTTCATATTTCTGTTATGTTACATAATACTTAATGTTTCTATTTTAGCTCAAACACAAAATCGTCCTACAATTCCATAAACATTTACAAGCTACTAGTTTGGAGAAACAGGCTGTTCCAGTGACCCAGATAGTGCTGCTTACTTCTGATTAAAAGAAAGAACTACATAACTATACTATGTCTATATATAAATACACCACAGAGAAATTCAGCTTTACGTATATCTGTAAAGCACCAATTAAAGTAAAAATAAAGAAACAGAAGGAAGATCAGTAGAGGAAGGGAGAGAAAGAGGAAATGCTGAGTACTTGAAATGGAAAAAATTTTATTCCATGCATGTGTGATTATGTCAAAATGAACTTCAATATTATTTATAACCATAAAGTACTAATAAAAACAGAAAAAAATAAAATATAATTAGTAAGTCCAAGATATCAAAACATGAATGTACTTTGTTAATCCAGAATTTCAAGAAAAATTTGAGTTATTTCTCATCCTATAAATTCTCAGTTCACAACTTGAAAAAATAAAATTCAAAAAGCAGATATACATAGACATCATAAGCCTCCTCTTATGATGCACTGAGATGGGCACAACATCACTTATGTGATATCATGATTTTAAAAATTTTGGAACCTGAATTAATTCATGAAGAAATGTAAGGAATTAATGAGTGATATTATATAAAATAACTAGTCACTGTTCTTCAAAAATGTTAAGGTTGGGTTGGGGTTGTAGCTAAGCGGTAGAGCCTTGCCTAGCATGTGTGAGGCACGGGGTTTGATTCTCATCACAGCAGATAAATAAAATAAAGGTCCATTGATGACTTAAAAAAATGAAAAGATTCAGGAACCACCCCAGGTTGGAAGAGACTAAGGACATATGGCAACAAAATTTAATGTGTGATCCTAGATCAGAAAAAAAAATCATGGAATAACTGGTGAAATATGAATAAGGTCTAGAAATCAGTAAGTAGTGTTGTATCAATGCTAATTTCCTGGTTTAGATCTTTTTACTGTGGTTACACAAGACATTAACACTTCTCTTCCTAGTTTTGTAACTGTTGGGAATGTAAAATTCGCTTAAAATTTTTAAAAAATGTTTTATTTTTAAATCATGGAGGAAGTCACAATTCACAGATGATCAATTACCATTAATTATTTTGGGGAATTTATACCAGATAAATTAATACTTCTCTATAGACAATACATAAGTATAGCAGTGGTAGGTGACTTCTGATTTTAATGACTCCAGGAAGGTAAGTATAACTTTCTTCTGAGGGCCAGATATGTACTAATCTAGTACTTTGATAATCTAAGGCTTTAATTCTTATTAAAATGCAAAGAACCTTGAGAAATAGAAATGAGGCAGGGTGGGCTGGGATTGTGACTCAGCGGTAGTGCACTTGCCTGGCATGTGTGAGGGACTAGGATTCTCAGCACCGCATACAAATAAATAAATTAAAGGTCTATCAACAAGTAAAAAAAAAAAAAAAACCTTAAAAAAAATAAATGAGGCAGAGTATCAGCAGCACAACTATAAAGGAATCAGAATAAACATCTCCCAATTCTCCTTAATATATCATATTCTTTTTTCAACTGAGTTATTTGACTTATGCATTAACATATGAATGACTAATTTGTAAATATTTTAACTATTAAATACTAAATGCAATAAAAATGTCAAAAAAATTCTTTAATGAGAATAGACAAAAAAAAAAAGAGAATAGACATGACTAAGTAACTTCAGCTAGGGACTATAGAAAGAAGTGTTTAATTAGTTCCATACACAATACTTCTGTGATGGAAGTAGCCCAGAAGGGGAGTATGTATATTGGTTGAGAAAACATTGCCCATCTTTAGGAAGATGATAAGGCCATGGAGGTTACAGATGAATAATATTATTTTCTCTTGATATCCACAGGAGATAATACCTGAAGTACTAGAGGTATCATGTATTATTAAATTGTGGAATGCTAAGCAAAAATTTCACATAGATTTCCTATGTACTTGTTCAAATAAATTATAAAAAAAATCCCCAAAGGAAAATAGGAGTAGAAACACTAGGGTAAATAGTTCTAGGGAATTCTTAATCATTGAATAAGAATCTCAAAGTTTAAGTTTTCCCAGAAGGGGGTTATCTGGAAAAGGAACTGCGTTCAAAACCACAAGATTATACTCACTGGCCTATGCATCAAAAGTAATAGTTACACATGATATTGATTATTAAGATGTTTGCAACTATGCAATAATTGCCTCATTCTGGTCATTTCAGAGATGACTAAAGCAATTAACCACCTAGAGTCTGACTTATAAATGTGATACTAACCCAAGGTAGTAATTGCTGGGTTTTTCTCTGATGAAATCTGTTTTAGAAGAGTGGAAGGCCTTCTCACAACTAGTTTCTCAAGTTTTGGAACACTTGAAATATCAATTTTATCCAAAGATTTACTGAGGCTTATAACATTCTTCAAGCTTTGTGGTACAGACTTTGGGTCATGAATTTCATGATTGCTATCAACTCTGCCCAGGAATTGTCCTACTGGCCAAGAATATCTTGATTGTTTAAATTCAGTGTCATCATTCTCCATAATATTACTATGATATTGGAGGCTCTTTCCATTCAAATTCTTGAGTATTGAAGATTCAGATGGTCTGGCAGGTAAGCTTCTTATCCTACGTTGTAGAGAGTGTCCTGCTACATTTGGTAATTCACTGTCTAAAGTAGTTTCATCCGGGGCTGAATCTTCAATAATTGCTAAGTAAGAGAAACATATTTAATTATTTCATTACTTGTATAATTTGTATTATATTTCAAAATATCACAACTAAGTCCTTATAAAAGTCATTCAAGAAATTACCCATTGCTTAAGTATATAAAATGAAGTATAACAAATTTTAAAATTAGGAGACATGATGATGAAAAGAGTTAACTATTAACTAGAATAAATATAATAGCTTAATATATTTTAAGTATTTTCATCCAAAGCTGTTTAAAGTTATACTGAAACTACAGTGATAGTGTAACTAGAATATGATTCTCATTCTCTATTCCTTCACACTTTAGGAAGACATTAGCCTATATTGTTGGTGGAACTTCAAATTAGTACAACCACTTTGAAAAAAATGGAGATTCCTCAAAAGACTAAGAATGGAACCATCATATGACCAGCTATATCACTTCTTGCTATTTTTCCAAAAGAACTAAAATAAGCATAGTGATACATGCATACCAATGCTTACAGCAGAACATTCCACAATAGGCAAATTATGGAACCAGCCTAGGTGCCCATCAATAGATGAACAACAGATAAAGAAAATTTTGTGTATATGTACATATTCATATATATGTGTGTATATATGTATATACATACACACACACATAATGGAGTGTTATTCATAAAGAAGAATGAAATTATGTAACTTACTGATAAAAAGATGGAACTGGAGAACATCATGCTAAGTGAAATAAGCAAGACTCAGAGAGTCAAGGGTCAAATGTTTTTTCTCATATGTGGGAGCTTAAGAGAAAAAAAGGCATTTAAAAAAGGGAAGAGATCTCATGAAAACAGAAAGAAAACCAGTAGAGTGGAAGTGAGAAACCAAAGAGGAGGAAGGAAAGGAGAAAATGGGGAAGAACTAGGGAATGAAGTTTACCAAATTATATTAGGTACATGTATGAATATACCATAATGCATTCCAATTTTATATATAACTATAATGTATTAATTATAAATAAATAAATAAATAGAAGGAAGACCAACAGAGTGGAGGAAGGGGATTAGTGGACGGTTAAGAGGGGGGGAATTGAAATGGAGAAAACTGTTACATGCATTTATGAATATGTCAAAAGGAATCCTGATAATATTTATATAACTATAATATATTAAATTTTAAAAAAATATTAAAAAGCCCATATGCTTCCACAATAGTTTTATTGAATTTGTAAATCTACCAACCTGAACAACTATCCTGATTACATTGTCATATAAAAAATAAAAATAAAATAAATTCTGTCATCTATCATCATTGATTTCCCATGCTTAGTTAATAGTATTATCCTTTATTTCTTTCATTTCTCATTTCATATCTATTATATCAAATAAAACAACTTAATTATTTAACTTTTGTACACAGAATATAGTGTTATATTATTCTAAGATAATATCTTTGATCTGTGCAACTTAAAGAGCCAATTTGCTTTTAACAACTCAATTTCTTATATTATGATAGCACTTGGAGTCTTTCTATGCAGCAATATCTTCATATTAAGTAGGATTTGGAAAAAATTTTAAAGGAAATATAACAGACTAATAAGCTAATACAAATATAAATTCCTTTAATAAAAGGATACAGAACTATTAGGAAGGTATAGAGGGGAAGTTTCATACATAAAAATAGCATCTTTAGAAAAACATTAACACAATATCCCAAATTATAGCTTCATTTACAGAATTCATCTGATGGTTCAGAGTGGTACCTTATATATGAATTTTACATTTTGAAATATTTCAATTATTATACTACTCAATGGAGTATAACTTTGAATAAGACTGCCAAAATATAAATTAAAAAAACATAATTAGAATAGTAGTATAATCTTGAGTAGGAAGCACTACATTTTTAAAAATGGAAAAGTTGGTGGGTATGATGGTGCACATTTATAATACCAGCAACTCAGGAGGCTGAGGCAAAGAGGCTCACAAATTCAAGATCAGCACTTACACCCTATCTCAAAATAAAAAATAAAAAGGATTGGAGGTGTAGCTCAGTGGAGTGCCCCGGGATTCAATTCCCAGTAAATAAATAAATAAATAAACTAACAAATGACAAATTTCATAATTTGATCTGTATGAGAATGAAGAATTTAAAATTTTGGATTTTAAAATCCTGTAAAGCTTTAAAGATGGTTATATGAATCTCAAACTGCTGTCTATCAAAAAAAAAATAAGCTAGTATTTAGGTAAAAATAAAATCTTTTAACACTTCTACATTAACACTGTGGACCATGAAAAGTGACCAACCCAGAATCTCTGGGTAGGATGAGACATATTTCTGAAAAGTTATTGAAGAAAACTCCAGTTTGCAAAGATTGAAATAATTCCCTATTTCTCCAAATATGAAAACATCAGCATAAGATAAAAAAAACATAAAAGACTTACATCATCAAATAATACAATAATTTCTTATTAGTTGACCCCAAAGATACAAACACCTGGACAATAATTCAAAATATTCATTTTAATTAAGGTCAATGTATTCCCAGAATTCCTATAGAAAAATTCTATATTATCTAGAAGATAATAAATCTCCAAAATTACAAATTTAACAGAAAACTGAAATTATAAAATAAAAAAACCCAGAACTGAAAAATACAATGAATGAAATAAAAAATACAAAAAAGAGCATCAATTGCTGGATGGATGTATGAATTCAAAGATAGATTATTTGAAAATACACAATGAGAGGAGAAAAAGAATGAAGAAGAATAAACAAAGCTTGCAGGATATGGAACAGCATCAAAAGAACAAATGTTCAAGTTCTAGAAGTTTGTGAAATAAAAGAGGAAAAAAATGGGGTAGAAAGCTCACCTAAAACAATAAGAGTATATCTTGTCAGATCATAATGAAATACAATTGGAACAAAACCCTTAAGAAGCAATATAAACACATGGAGAATGAGCAATACACTTTTGAATGATAAATGGGTGCCAGAAGAAATCAAAGAAAAAATTTTAAAATTTATAGACCCGATGAGAATAGTGATACAACACACAAAAAACTTTGGGAAACTTTGAAGGCAGTTCTAAAAGGAATATTTAAGCTAAGAGTGCCTTCACGAGAGTATATCAGAAAGATCCAAAATAACCTAATGATGCATCTCAAGGCTCTTGAAAAAAAAGAAAAAAAAACAATTCAAAACAAGTAGAAAGAAGGAAATGATTAAGGTCAGAACCAAAATCAATAAATTTGAAAATAAAAAAACAACACAAAGTACCAATGAAACAAAAATTTGTTTCTTTGAAAAGATAAATAAGATTAATAAACCTTTAACCAAACTAACCAAATGAAAAAGAGAGAAGACTCAAATTCACAAAATTAGTGATGAGAAAGGAGAAATCACCAGACATCACAGAAATACAGTCGATCATTAGGAACTATTTTGAAAACTATACTCCAATAAATTGGAAAATCTAGAAGAAATGGTTTTCTATACCCCTATGACCTGCCAAAATTGAATCAATAGGACATAGAAAACCTAAACAGACCAACAAGTAGCAATGAGATAGAAGTGGTAATACCTTCCAAAAAAAGAAAAGTCCAAGACCAGATGGATTCTACCAAACCTTTAAAGAAGAGCTAATGCCAACATTCCTCAAATTATTTTGTTTAGTAGAAAGAGATGGAACACTTCCAAATTCATTCTATGAAGTCAGTATCGCACTCCTATCAAAACCAGATAAGGACACATCAAAGAAAAAAAACTGTCGACCAATATCCCTGATGAAGATAAATATAAAAATACTTAATATTAAGAAGATTGTATATCACAACCAAGTTGGTTTTATTCCAGAAATGAAAGGATGGCTTAATAAGTGCAAATCAGTAAATATAATAGATCACATAAATAGAATCAGGGCAAAAATCACTTAGTCATCTCAATAGATGCAGAGAACGCCTTCAACAAAATTCAGCACCTATTCATGAAAAAGATGCTGAAAAAAAAACAGGTATAAAAGGAACCTACCTCAACATCATAAAGGCTATGTAAGAAAAGCCCAAAGCCAATCTCATAGTAAATGAGGAAAAACTGAAAGAATTTCTTTTAAAATCTGAGATAAGACAAGGATGTCCATTCTCATGATGCCTATTTAATATAATGCTAGAAATTTCTAGCCAGAGCAGAGATGGGGGGGGAAGCAATAAAAATAGGAAAAGAAGAAGTCAAATTATCACCATTTGCAGATGATCCTATCCTATCTAGAAGATCCAAAACACTCTACCACCAAAAGACTGCTAGAGCTAATAAACAAATTCAGCAAAGTAGCAGGTTACAAAAGCAACATCAAAAATCAATAGTTTTCCTATGTAATAATAATGAATCTGCTGAAAAAAAATTCAGGAAAACAATCCCATTTGTAATAGCCTCCAAAAATACATAGGAATAAATCTAACCAAGGAAGTAAAAGACCTCTATAATGAAAACTTTAGAATATTTAAGAAAGAAATTGAAGAAGAACTCAGAAGGTGAAAAGACCTCCCAGGTTCATGGACAGGCATAATTAATATTGTCAAATTGGGCTGGAGTTGTGGCTCAGGGGCAGAGCACTTGCCTCACACATGTGAGGCACTGGGTTCAATCCTCAGCATCACATAAAAATAAATAATAAATAAATAAACAAAATAAAGATATTGTGTCCATGTATAACTAAAACAATACCTTAAAGAAATATTGTCAAAATTTCCACACTATCAAAAGCAATAAACAGATTCAATGCAACCCTCATCAAAATACCAATGATCAAAATACCAAAATGCCAATTTTCCACAGAACTAAAAAAAACAGTCCTAAAATTCATCTGGAAGAATAAAAGATCAAGAATAGCCAAAACAATTCTAATCCAAAAAAAGGAAGACTGGAGACATCACAATATCTTACTTCAAAAATTATAATACAGAGATATAGTAAAAAAAATTACTGGATACTGGCATAAAAATAGACACATATACTAATGTTACAGAATAGAAGACACAGGAC